TACATATGAAAGAGTTGAGAACCAGAGAAAATAAGTGACTTCTTCAAGATTATCTAAATAATATTAGAGCCTGAACCAGAACTCTTGTGATTTTTATTTCTGAACTACTATTCTTTTCATTAAATCATATATGTTTACTTTGGGTTTTTTTTTTTTTTTTTTTTGTAAAGGAGTTTTAAATTTTTAAATAATTAAATTAATATTTTCATGATTCTATTATTTTTTTCATTATTTTTATTTTTTTTTTTAATTTGGGTTTCTATTGCTTATGTAAGTATGTCCTTCAAGGACAGTAATGACAGAGATGGATATCACAAGCTGTATTCATTCATTTCCAATAAAAGCAGGCACAAACATAATGGTTGGATTTGTTTAGTCTGGATAAAGCTGATTTAATCATATAGAAAACACTGGTTTCTTATCCCAATGAAGCCTACAAAATTCTGACTGCAAAGATTAGGAAAAAATTCAAATTTTAGGTGTCTATTCTGAGAAAAAGGGGGAAAAAACCAACACTGAAGGAGAGCACTCTATTAATAAAACTTAAGACATCTTGGAAGTGAATATATGCTTAGGTCATCCTGAGCCAGTAGTTACCTGGAAACTTATCCTTGATACTAGAGGGAGCACCAAGTAACCAGAGTCCATAAAGCTCTTGGGAGAATGTGGTCTTGTTTCTGCCCCAGGGATACTCATTATCTTTAGCATTAATTAAGCATGGTTTATTCCTGCCCAATAATATGACATATTATTGTAATAGCCTCATTCCTTTCTAACAATAAAAGTACATCTGTTATTTATTTAAAGCTTAACTATATGCTATATTGTCTTATTGTGCAAATTCTGGCTCGGAGGTATTATGATTCACTGAAAGGTAAATAGGTGTTAAGTGGCTGAGTCATGATCAAAGCCTGACTTGTCTAATTCCAAACTCTGTACTGTTAGTCATTATGCTAATTAGCCTCTTGGTAATCTTGGACTTCTTTGACAGTAATTATTCCTTTATCACATTACTTCCTGAATTTTCCACCCCCACTTCCACCCCAAGAGTGGACCCTATTTTTTTTTCCGCCTACCAAATGGCACATATAATCTGATTTTCTCATTTTTATCTTCCATTTATCCATGTTGGATATCATTTCCAGCCCTATTTCTGACCCTTTTAAGGAATGTGTGAGGGAAATATCTGGAATAAGAAGAGAAAGTCAAGGAAAAGAGAAAGAGACTCAGGGGACAGGAAGGGGTTAGCTCAATACAGGGCTTCATATGTAGATTTAAGGAATTTCTTACATGTAATTTATAACTGTTGAAGGGTCTTAAGCAGAATGTCCATTGGTTTGGGAGCCTATTGCACCAGATTAAGCAAGAGATGTTGTTGGCTTGGATTTGAATGCTAACAATGAGGATGGTGAGAAGCACATGGTTACATGAGGTATGTAGGAGGAAAAACTGTCATCAAGTAGTAACTTAGTGACTGTAGGATATTTGTTGTTTTGTTGTTATGTGCCATCGAGTTGGACCTGACTCATAGCCACCCCTCCTTGGGTTTCCGAGGCAGCATCACTACAGAAGTAGATTGCCTCATCTTCCTTCTGAGGAGTGGCTGGTGGGTTTGAACCGCCAGGCTTTTGGTTAGCAGTCAGGTGCTTTTAGGCATTACGCTACCAGTGCTCCTATAGGATATAGTGAGAGAGAAATGTCAGTGATGCATCTTCCATCTCTATATTGTTACCTGGAGGAGAAATGGAGATTAATAACTGGGAATTAAACCTGCTCAAACTTTGAACAAGATAAAGTGGTGTAACTTGGAAGACATACACATTCTCTGGAACAGAATCTCATCTAGTAAGTACAAATGTAGATTCTATTCATTTTGCCTTTTTAATCACTAATTTTTGTTTCAGGAGCTCTGGTGGCATAGTGCTTAAGACATTTGACTGCTAACCAGAAGGTTGGTGGTTCAAACCCACCAGTCACCCTGCAGAAGGAAGACTGGGCACTCTACTTCCATAAAGATTTACCACCCTGGAAACCAAAGGGGATCACTATGAGTCAGAATTGACTTGATGGTAGTGAGATAATTTTTGTTTAGTGATTTGAATTTTGATAAAATACATGGGATAAATGTATTAAATTTTCTCAAATTGTCCATGATGATACCTAAATTTTTG